CAAAGCAGTCCTTAGAGGGAAGTTTATAGCTCTAAGCGCCTTCACTAAAATATCAGAAAGAACACAAATTAATGACTTAACATGGCAACTCAAGACACTCAAAAGCAACAACAAAGAAAACCCAAACCTGCAGGAGTCCTGCTCCAGCTGAGTCTGGGCCCTGAAGGAGTGAAGGTAACTGCGGCGGTAGAAATGACTATACCAGAAACCACAGTTGCAGTTCTAGTAGAGGCTGTTGACTGACCCACTCAGGGGAGGTCAGCCCGAATAGCTTCTTTCTTTTTCTTTTCTCTCTCTCAGCAGCCTTCTGCAAACTTTATTCACAATTAGAAAGCTTACAATAATCACAGTAAAAGGAAAATAAAAAGGTCAATGATTTAATTTTTCTTAACATAGCCAAGCAACGTCTTTATTGTTTTCTTTATAGCCTTGCAGTTTCTGTTTTACCATAGACATATAATACGGTCTGTCCCCATTTTCCCATTAATTCTTTTATTTCTTCCTGAACGTTTCGACTTCTCTGCGTCATACGATTATTTCTCTCTTTCAATATCCTTTATTATTTTGTTGCCATTTATCTTTAAGGGCATTTTGAATCGCTTTTATTCTTTGTAAAACAATAGGCATTTTTTATTGAAGGTCATGCACTACCAGCTTTTTACTGACCTAGCTAATCTTTCTATCCAAGGAGGAGTTTCCCTAAACCATTCTATCTTTTTACTTTCGTTTTGTTTCAATAACATGATAAATCTGCCAAAGGCAGAGATTTCCCAGGTTTAGTTTCTCATTCCTTCATCAGAGTTGGTTATCAGAATACTTAAAGAAGAGAAGGTTATACAAATTACAAAAACCAGGAGTAACTGGGGAAGGATATCCACCAAAAGAGCAGCGGTCATCGGCTTTCGGCTGGAACTTTGTCAAGCAGCACTCTTGCCAAGAACCATGGAACTCCCGGAGCCAGCACAAACCCAGCAGACAAGAAGAAATAAAAAAAAAAATATATCGGAGCAGAAATTAATGAAATAGAACCAAAGAAAACAATACAAAGGATCAACGGATCCAAGAGATGGTTCTTTGAAAAGATAAACAAGATTGCCAGACCACTAGGCCAGTTAACCAAAAGAAAGATCACCTTCAAGTCAACAAAATCAGAGATTAGCGGGGAAACATCACAACAGACACAAAAAAGATCCAGAACATTATAAGGGGATACTTTAAAAACCTATTCCCTACTGAATTTGAAAACCTAAAAAAATGGACAGGTATCTACAAGCATGGGAACTACCAAAACTAAATCAAGAAGAGGTTAACAGCTTAAGCAGACCCAATTACACATACAGAAATTGAAACAGTAATACAATCAGGACCAGATGGATTTACAGCAGAATTCTACCAGACATTTAATGAAGATCTACATCCAATACTACTTAATTTATTCAAAAAGATAGAAATGGAGGGAGATTATTATTAGTCATGGTAGGCTGCACTTGGATCCTTGGCTTACAGGGGTTATACTGAGTTCAATATTATGTAACTGTATTAATTCAACTGTGAACCTAAAAGTTCTATAGCCACTTTTGGAAGAGATGTATTTTTGCTCTGAAAATTGTTATTGAGTATGTTAAAGCTGTAATGAAATGTTTTTTCTAATAAAATTTAAAAAAAAATGTTACAAAAAAGAAATGGAGGGAGAACATCCAAATTCTTTCTATGAAGCCAGCATCACTCTAATACCGAAGCCAGGTAAAGACACAACCAAAAAGAGAACTATAGACCCATATCCTTGATGAACATTGATGCAAAAATTCTCAACAAAATACTTGCAAACCACATACAGACACACATCAAAAAGATCATCCCCAATGATCAAATCAGCTTTATTACAGAGATGCGGTAATGTTTCAATACATGTAAGTCAATAAATGTCATAAATCATATAAATGTAGTCAAAGATAAGAACCACATGGTTATCTCAACAGATGCAGTGAAGGCCTTTGACAAAATTCGACATGCATTTATGCTCAAAGTCCTAGAGGGAGATGGACCAGAGGGAACATACCTCAACATAATTAAAGCCATATACAACAAACCCATCATTCTACACGGAGAAAAACTGGAAGCATTCCCATTACAATCAGGAACTAGGCAAGGGTTTCCTCTATCTCCACTCTGTTTTAACATAGTGCTTGAAAATCTTGCAAGAGCAATAAGACAAGAGAAGGAAATTAAAGGAGTAATAATTGGAAGAGAATAAATTATCCTTTTAGGCAGATGATATATGTAAGAGATGCCAAAAGTTATACAAGAAAACTCCTAGAATTTTTAAAAAATGTTCAGTAAAGTGGGAGGTTACAAAATAAATATGCAGAAGTCTTTAGCCTTTCCATATGCCAACAACAAGAAATCAGAGAAAAGGTGTGAATGGAAACACTCCCTTTCACCATGCCTTCAAAAACAAATAAATTTTTAAAATGAGTTATATTTGAGGAAGAAGCATAAAAATTCGCTTCTTGTTAATTAGTAGATGTGAAAAACAGTTCAATTGAAATCTACCTTATGACTTTTTAACCCTACTCAGGTGCCAAGGATCTAAGTATAGCCCACTGTAACTAGTAATAATCAGATACATAGAGATTAGAAATGCATGTGCAAACATCTAAGTGTTAGTAGCACTAAAAATCAGTTTTTCTGTATAAAACAGTACATTTTAAAAATGAAAGAGATCTTTTTTAAAGGTTAAAACCTCATTTAATTTTATATCTTACAGGGTTCGTACTGAGTTCAATGTTGTATAACTGTATTAATTAAACTGTGAACCTAAATATTTACAGCCAATTTTGAAAGTGACGCATTTTCGCTCTGGAAATTCTTATTGAATATGTTAATGTTTCAATGAAATGCTTCTTCTAAACATGTGGTTATTAAATAAATAATTTTAAAAATGATTTTTTCTGTGTGAAACAGTATACTTTAAAATGAAAAGAAGATCTTTTTTAAGGTTAAAACATTCAATTTTATGTCTTATAGGTTTTATTCTGGGTACAATATTGTGTAACTGTATTAATTCATCTGTAAACCTAAAGGTTTATAGCCAATTTTGAAAGAGATACATCTTAGCTCTGAAAATGGTTATTGAATATGTCAGTGCTGTTGGAATGAAGCACTTCTTCTAATTATGTGGTTATTAAATAAATATTTTTAAGAAGATATATATGTGTTATATAATACGTAGATATATTAGTGTAACTACAATATTATGCATATATATTAAGGGGAAATTGTGTAAAATCAGTGCTTGGGGCTTACTCAGAGCCCTTTACTCTGAGTTCACCCCAGGAAGAGGGATAATGACTGGGAAGTTGGGTATTCAAAGAATGTTTTCCTTTGAACGCACTGAGTACCTGGGACAGAAAGCTATCCTCTGTGAGTTTTGTGCAGGAAGGTAATATTCAGTTTCTGAACCTGAAGAAAGAAAGATAAAGAAAATCTAGTCTACCTCATCTCTGAAGAATGCTTTGTGGTATGTTAGATATTCTCCACTGAAAACCCTTCCTCTTCCTTAACCTAATTAGAAGTTAATCTTGTGGTAGTTGTTGTCACTTTAAACATCTCATCATTGGAAAGCAAAAATTTCCACTGGTGAATGGCGGTGAATGGCAGGAAGTTTTTTTAGCAGACCGAAATCATTTCCTTGACTCACCGTATGACAGAGTAGAGATTCATAACATTGCCAACTGGAAAATCAGTAATTCTCACAATATGTCACAGATTTTTCAAGGTAAACATAACTACCTAACAGCTGTAGGATGAATAAAGTTCCCTAACCCAGAGCCAGCTGTAGAGAACACCTAAGGCAACCAGACTTCTGTGCTTGGACACCTCCCTTTGCTAACACAGGGCAGGTGACACTTAAATCAGGGAAGAACAGACTGTACATTCTAGCTTGAGATTAGTCATTTTCCCTCACAGAGGAATCTACTTTGTCATGAAAAGAATGGGGTAAGAAAATGCTTACACTATTCACAAACTGTTTTAGTGCTTTGAGGGAGATCGGACTGACAGGAATGCCATTACCAAACAGGATCATGGATACTTGTGCAAAGTCAGTATTTTTCCTCAGAAATTGCTGGAAAGCGTTTCTTGTGCATGTGTCACTTATTTTAATAATCTCACCTCTTATGAATGGGTGATATTCCTCTGTTCCAAATAGTATGAATCTTTGAGTTACAGAAAGGGACTCTGTAAACTACTACAGGAACGGAGTTCCTAACCATTCTCTATTCTCTGGACTCTGCTTTCTCTGTCTGCTCAATACCAGGTCTTCCTTCTCTGAGTCACTGTGAGCAAAGCTAGAAGAAATGAGGTTAAGGAGAGAAAGGTGGTGATTTTTGTCTACTGGCTCTTTTGCAAGTGTTATCTCTTAATCTCATTGTACTTTATCTGAAAGGGATTAAGAACATTTGCAATATTCCATCAAGCACACAGAGACTAGGTATAAACATATATCTGTCATCACTAACTATATGTGTCATAATTAAAACCTGGAGCCTACAAGTTGGTGCTTTTAATATTGTTCTCACGACCTTCAAAAAATGAAAGACAACCACTCAGCATGAGAGGCAAAAACCATGAAAAGCTCTAGATTCCAGGAACAGCACCAGATAAAAGGAGGTATGGTAGCCTGGTGGAGGGTGCATGCACTCTTCGTGTTCAGGAGGAGGAAGGAGAAAGGTCACAACCTCAAGGTTATTCTTGATTATATAAGGAATTTGATATGAGATAGAGGAGAACTCTCTATCTGCCTGTCTGTCAGGCCATGGAGGAAGAAGGCATAAGAAGACTTAGAAGACCCTCAACAGAGCCTCTGAGACACAAATGTGACCCTGACATCAGAGCTATGGGAGACACCTGCAATCTTTCATAACTAAGGAGGAAATCAGATGTTGTTTTAAAAGCTGCATAGACTGAACTTTACTCAGGTTGCAGCTATTACCTGCAGACTGCAGAAAGTCCCAGAGTTCCTGCCAGGTGGCCGTCTTCTTCACAAATATAAGCAATACAGATTTGGCATGCCTGGGGCCCTTTCCGAATGACAGAGTCACATAAATCTCGTGCCTTATCTGCAACAGTGGCATTTGCACAATTTATTCTCTCCATCTCTTACTGGTTGAACACTTTCTTCTGTAAAAGTTCATCCAGCAAGCCATTTATTGTCCCTTTGCCCACTGAGCGGACAAACTGCTTCCTCTTCTCTCTCAGGATGTTGTGATTAGAGCACAAAGAATTTCAAGTGAGAAAAACAGCCTCATGTTCCCTTCTTCTCCTGAACTGAGCATAACGTGCCCCAGACTGAATTAGGCCGCGGTGTCTCCTCACACACTTCACTTAGCTCTTCCTTTATTCTAGCCTTGCCCCATGTTTTCCAAAAACATTACCCATGTGCACACAGGACATGGAATGAACATTGAACTACTGTATCCTGCTGGGTCCTAGAAGCAGGAAGTCCCCTGTCTCATATGTATTCACCTCTGAGCAATAAAATGAAGAATAGTAACCCGTTTTCTTCTGTGGCAGCTGCCGCTGCCGTTCATCCTGTTCCAGGACACGAAGTGGAAGAGTTAAGACAGCTAAGTGACAGAAAGAGAACAATAAAACCCGAGCACACTTCTGCCCCTGGTCTTTCTTTCCCACGGTTTCAGGACTCTCCTGTGCACGTTTCCTACTCACCAGCCTCCTCCCCCAAGATTCAGCTCATCTGAACATCTGCAGAAGCTAATGCTAGCGTCCAGAGAGGCACCTCTTCCTACGCTATTTATTTACAAGGTCTGCCCTTTTCACACTGAGGAGCACTCACCAGCCATGGCTTCCTCTGCTACCATCAGCTGCTACTGAAACTGAAAGCGCTTTGTGGCTTCCTAGTCACCAGGGTGTGTATGCCGATTGGGAAACAAGCACTGCTCTCCAGTGGTGTGTGTGCGAGATGGTGTTCCTAATTCAACTCAAACTTCCTTCCGGAGTTTCGACTGCCTAGGTGTGAACCATGAAGAGGAGCTCCGATTTCCACTTGGATTACGTTGGTGTAGGAGGGGAGTGGATTTTAGGGAAGAAACAGAGGAATGACATTGAGCTATTTGAGTTCCCACTCTGAGCCAGATGTTCCCTAGCAGAGCTGAAGATGCACCTGACACATGTGCCCTTCAGTCATTTAGAAACTGTAGTCTATGCAGTGACAGAGAAATTTATAAAACAAAAATGCAGTGCAAATTGTTGCAGAGGTTGGTCATGACCACATAATACCAAGGGGTGTTTCATTGGGTGGTGGAAAGAGGGTTGGTAAGCTGGAGTCCACATGAGGGAAGAATCAAATAATTTTCCACTGTTTGACTGGTGAGGAAGATCCTGTGTGAGAAATAGATGCCCTGAATTAGCTGGAATCATCAAATTCTCAGAAGACAGTTTTTCTCTTTCTACAATGGATAAAGCGCAAGAAGAATAGCCTTGGAGAAGACAGAGATTTGCTTTGGGCATGCTCAATTAAGGTGATTGAAGGGGCTCAGTAGGCAACTATGTGGAATTCTGGAAAGTCAGGAAAGAGTCTGTATTTGAGAACTTGATGAAGGACACAGCGGCAAATACATGAGGCTCAAAATGTGGGAATGTTTGGGATGTTCTGTATGAAATACACAAAAAATGAATAAAAACATATAGGAATGGCTGCCAGGTTTGCTGTCATACTCCTTTAATCCCATGACTCAGGAGACTGAGTCAGGCAGCTCTCCCTGAGATCAAGGCTGGGCATGGTCTATGTCTCCCAGGAAAGCTCAGGCTACACGGAGACTGTCTCCGAAAACAACAACACAATAACAACAACAACAACAACAACAATCAAACCAGCACAGGAAGGGAATAAACAATTTAGAGAATATTTCTTCTTTTGTTTGTTTCCTTTTCTTGAAGTTTTGATATTTTGATGATATTAACTCTCCCTGATCTGCACTCCCCACTACTACCTCCTATATCTATAGGTCCTTTTGAGACAAATGTGTCCACACATACCCTTCAGTGTCAGTCTGTTCACTACACCATAGTTTGCCTACCCAGGCTCACACCCTTATAAACACCTGACTCTCCCTCTCCCACTAGCAATGAGTTGCCAATGTGCCTCTACTAAGGTAGGGACTTCTTACTCATGTCAGAATTCTGAGTCAGGACTTTTTTCTCCCTTGAACTTACATATGATTTGTACATTGTGACACCAGTGCCATTCAAGTTCATATGAGTAACTGCAGTTTTCTGGAAAACGCTTTCTTTGTGGTCGTCCACCATGTCTGGCTCTTAGAATCTTTCTTCCCCTTCTGCAAACATTCCCTTTGGAACCAGAGGTTGACGTAGGTGTCCTATTTGGGACTAAGCCTTTGCAGTCTCTTATTCTTTGCACATTGTCGAGTTGTGTGTCTCACCGTTAATCATCATCTTCTGAAAGAGAAACTTTCTCCGATGAGAACTGAGAGATGCATTAATCTATGGTTACAGCAATAGGGCATTAGGAGTCAGTTTAATTCTATGTCTATTTACCAGAATGATAGTAGTCGATTCTCTTCCATTGTACTTAGAGACTGTCTCTTAACATATAGCCCTACTGTTTGGCCTGAAACTTGATATGCAGAGCGAATTGACCTTGAACTCATAGACATACACTTGTTTCTGACCCTTGAGTGCTGGGATTAAAGTTGTACACCTCCATGTTGAGCACAGAAAATACTTCTGAGTATGGCTTAGAATCAATCTGTGAGAAATTTTCATTGTGACCCCTTGGACCAAACAAATGATAATAATCATTTCTAAAATGATAGAGTATCTATCTATCTATCTATCTATCTATCTATCTATCTATCTATCTATCTATCTATCTACATATACACACATATATATAAAGCAGCTATAAATTCTGTCACTTAACAACTTTCAATATCTGCCAAATTTATTGGCCCAAACACTGGATATTAATCAGTGAGAATTCTTTTCCTACTTTAGAAGTTGTATGACATGTGACAGTCTGCAAACCTGGACATTTGGTCATTGCTGTTAAAGTGAAACCTGTCTCTTATAGATCATGTATAAGGGCCCATAAGTGACTCCAAGGCATGCTGGGTTCTTCCCTCAGAAGCTCTTTAATTAGAGCTTGCATGGTTATGGGGAAAATAGAGAAAAATTGTAAAAGGAAAAATCACCTTGTCATCTGAAGAAAGTGTTGCATATGTTACAGTATCAGTTATTCAAATAACCTTGTTTTCACCCGACCATAGAGTACAACGATCCAGTACCAAGCCCTAAGTGCATGGTTCAATTACTCAGTCTAAGTCTAA